TGGAAACAAATACAGAGATTCACAGTCAGCTATTAGAGAGAGAGAGAGAGAGAGAGAGAGAGAGAGAGAGAGAGAGAGAGAGAGATCTTGGAACACAATCTCTCCCCTTGGAACTCTGGGGAGCCCATGGAAGAGAAGGCAAAAAAAAAAGTAAGAGCCAGAGCAGATGGAGGTCACAAAGAAAACAAGGTCCTCTAAATCAACGTGATCAAGGCTAATATGAATTCACAGAGGCTGAGGCAGCATGCACAGGACCTGTAAGGGGCTGCTACAGGTTCTCTCTGTATATATTATGGCTTCCAGTGTAGTGGGTTTTTTTTTTGTTTTTGTTTTTGTTTTTTTTTTTTTTTAATTTTTATTCCTGGGTGTGTTAAATAGTGGGTCTCTAATTCTTGGGCCTTTTTCTTGGGCTCTTTTCCTTCTGTTGGTTTGTCTTGTCCAATTTTGATGTGATAGTTTTATATATATATCTGATATTTTGCTTTGCTGTACTTTACTATTATCTCAGGACCTCACTTTCGGATTAACAACAGAACTGACACATGGAATTAATGTAGTCTATTGTAACACACATTCTTAGATTGTATGCTAGTTCTGTTACTAATACTTTGTTAGGATTGTTGTATCTATCTGAATTAGAAAAACAATATTAAGGGTATTTAAAATGTTTTACTAGGTGAAATTTGTGAAAAATCTATTTTACAGTACTTCTTAAAATGTTACGTCTTCAATTCATGTAAATTAACTTACACATTCCAATGTGTATTACATTTACCCCTAATTTAAGCTCTGACTTTAAAATATTTCTTAAATTCCTATAACTTGATTGCATGTATGAATTTACATAAATTGAAGTTGTCTATATCTGTCTTGATTGCATTTTAACTGTATACCAAAGTCCAACATTAAAAGAGTACATCTATTTCATATAAATACTATAATATCAAAGGTGTAATAAGAGTGATATTGTAATAATTCTAGTTAAATTCTATTTTCAGACTGTTTTTCTTCTAACTCGAGAGTTCTTTTGTGAACATATTGTGCAGTTGGGTATGGTAATTTTTAAGGCAAATAGGATTCAATAAAAGAAAAATTATAATGTTCAGGAATTAAAGCTGTCTGAACATCTTGTTCAGAAAAAGATTAATTTATGAAATTCTGTGTGTAAAGCAGGTACTATGTACAAATTGTCAATCTCCCATCCTTATTCTGTGGTAAGTTGATATTTGGTTCTGAAAAACAATTTAGTTATGTGATATATCTGATAGGTTTGTATCATTATAACTAGTTTTAATATGTATAATAAACCTTTTATTTACATTTCAATTACATATCAAATACTTTTCAACAAAGAACATGTTTCTCTTTAAATGTTTTGCATATTCATATTATGAATAAGTGATACATAATAATATACATAAGGATATATTTTGTGAAATATTTTCAATAATATTTTTTGAGAGTGTTCATTTATTTATTTATTTATTTATTTATTTATTTATTTATTTATTTATTTTTGCCTATCCATGGATTTTTGAGCCTCCAATAAAAATTTTGGATTTTTTTTCTATTTCTTGTTTTACCAACCTAAAACTTTAAGCACTCTTACAAATTATCAAATAGGAATGGAGAGTAGATGTCCTTATCGTCTTCCTGACATTAGCAGAAATGCTTTCAGTTTTTCCACTTTTAGCATGATGTTGACTGTAGTTGTGTTATATATAACCTTTATTATGTTGGGGTATAATCCCTGGATTGCTAAACCCTCCATATCTTTTATTGGGAAGGGATGTTGGATTTCATCGAAGACCCTTTCTGTATTTAATTACATAATCGTATGATTCTTGACTTTGAGACTATTTATGAGATGGACAAATTTGTTGATTTAAATATGTTGAACCATCCCTGCATCTCTGGAATGAGACCTCAGGAAGACTAAATTTCTTGGACAAATATCCTAATGAATATCTTAAAGCATGATTAAAATTTCTTATGTCAAGCAGAAGAAGAAAGGAGCTACTTCTAAACTAGAAAACTCAGTTCATAAAGCCAGGAAATAGATGTAAATTTACTGAAAATCCTAAGCCATTTAGTTTTGTTTACTGTTAGTCACAATGGCAGAGTTTCAGGTCACAGTTGTGGTCATACTTTATTGGAAAGACATCTAGCATGCACATTGTTAACACTGGTAGCAAGACAAACAAGCACACATGTCAGACCAGATTCATTAGATTCCTAAAATTATGGGAGAGAATTTAGAAATGCTTTAACATGAATAGATATACTTTCTATTTTCTTTGTTTTTCTTTGAGGATATAGTCTCTATTCATTACTTATTAAAGTTATTATTTTCTTTTCTTTAAAATGGTTTTTCCAAAGACAGGGTTTCTCTGTGTAGCTTTGGAGCCTATCCTGGAACTCACTCTGTAGACTAGGCTGGCCTCAAACTCAAAGAGATCTGCCTGCCTCTGCCTCCTGAGTGCTGGGATTAAAGGCATGTGCCACCATGCCCAGCTAAAGTTATTATTTTCATCAATTACAAATATATGTACCAAACTACATAGTAGTGACAACTGTATTGTGGAAAACAGAAACCACAGATTATATCCATATTACATTTCGGGTACATTATTCATTTACTTATTATTGATTATGATGAAAAAAGATATCACAAAATTGTTGATTTTAACTTTTAAATTTTGTATGTCAGCGGTATGGATAAATTCACACTTCTGTGTGAAATGACTCCTCAGAACTCTTTAATTTAGTAAAATTGCAGTTATGAGCCAACTAAACAGCAGCCTTGATTTCCCCTTCTCAGACCCTGAATAGCTACACTTTGCATTTTGTTTCTTCAAATATGATTATTGTAAGTAAACTATATCAATGTATTCAATATTGGAGGCATCATATAGTGTTTATCTTTTTTTCATTTTTCTCTGTTAGCAAAATAAAACCATAGAAAAGTAGTATTTAAACAATAGTTAATTCATTATTGTTAGATACAACATCATATAGTAGATGGAATGATTTACCATCTAGAGCTGGTAATAACATTTTGACAACAATAGATGGCTAATCTGTAAAGGACCATTGATTACGAACCTAGTCTGCATTTTTAATTTTTGCATCTGATATTTTTGCATGCAAAACAAAAAGTGTAGCCACAGTTGCCTAATTATAGGCATAACCATCCACATTAGCCCTCCAAAAGATCAGCACAAAGGGATACCATCTGTGAAAGTGTACAAACCCCATAGACCTTTCCTGCTTTAAACCCAGTAAGGGGGTTGGGCAAATTTCCTTCTGGCTTCTGGCTCAGACTTTATTCTTGCATGATCTCGTTTATGCCTTAAAGGCTAGTCGTTCTGAGAAGCAGGGAGTCAGCAGGCCTTTTCCCCATTCAATGAATACAACCCCCTCCCCATATGATACTCCTTTATCACAGCCACCTGAGAACAGTAGCCATTTCCAAATTACATCTTTCCCACTGTTAGCACAAGCAGATTTTAAAAAATGCACAAGAAATTTTACCTGTTAGATAACTTGAAAACTACAAAGACAGAATCTCAAACAAATTTCTGTTTAAAGATGACAAGAAAATTATGTTACTCTACTTTCATAAAAAAGGGAGTTTTAGCCTTTTATTAAAAACACAGCTGTCAGTTTTGATCAAATACATTCATATTTCCCCATTATGTTATTACGGCCATCATGAAATTTAATAATTGTCCCTTGGAGTTTGATTTCCCATAAAAGAGTCATAACACAATCAGCACTATTGCAAATAATTATGAAACTATGTGGAGAGAGTTATGATTTCAGGTGGGAAATATATAATAATAGATTGAGAAATTTAAAACCCAGGTTAATACTTGATAAAGATTCAGTTCTCATACAAATGTCAGTAATAATAAATGTGTGACAACAAAGCCTGCTTTATAAAAATGAAAGAGATTCCAGACAGAATCATTGGCACGGGTTTTGATGATAGTTCAGATACTATTTGCTTATCATTTCATCATATTAAATACTATTAATCTAAAAAAACAATCCTCTCTGGTAGAAGTAGTACTATACCTTTAAAAAAATTGAGAATTCAGTAGTTTATTTCTGATTTAAAATGAAGGTAAAGTGTTTCTTATATATGAATGCTATAGTGACTCATTTTGCATTGTTGTGAATTGATTTTTTGCTTTTCTTTTTTGTTTTTGATACAGAATTTCTGTGTAGCCCTGGCTGCCCTAGAATTCCCTTTGTAGACCAGGCTGGCCTTGTACTCAGAGATCTGTTTGCCTCAGCCTCCTGAGTGCTAGGATTAAAGGCATGTACCACCACAGCCCAACGTTATCAATCGGGCATTAGTGAGAAATCAAGGTTTGAAAATTCTGAAAGAGAGTAATTAGAAGATTGATTCTGGTCAGCGATCTGCTGTATGGCATACAACTGTAAGAAGAAATAACTGATCTTTATAATGGATTCAGACATCAAAATATCACCATTGGCATGCTGAACAAGATAAGATGTTCACTATAAAACAGGGGAAAAGAATATTAAGACATTAGAGAGGACGATGTGGGCTGGTGAGATGAGTCAGCAGATAGAGGTTAGACCTCAAGTTTGATGACATGATTTCAATCCCTATGCCCTATTTGCTGGAAGAAGTGAAACAATTCCCACAGGTTGTCGTCTGACTTCTATGGATGCACTGTGACACAGACAGACATACAGAAACACACACACACACACACACACACACACACACACACACACACACACACACACACACACACAAAACCCACAGGACTTTCTAGCACATATTTAAAATATATATACAAAATACTCACAACATAAAA